CACTATATTTACTAAAAGTTTTACAATATTACATGTATAAAAGTTATAAATATATCCGCGACTTACACTAAAACGATATACATAACGTATGTATATCGTTTTAAAATTTTAAATTAGGATAAATTATATCAAAATATTTACTTTGTAGGCCAGTCTCCATATGGAAAATACGCAAAAAGCTCTGACTGTAAGCAAAATCTGTTGTCTTTAGACTATATACTTCCGTATCAATGTTTTTCCGTAATCCGTAACAGTTTTTTTAGTGCAATAAATAACCATTTTAATTTGGTTTCATTATTTTGAACGATAATTGACAATTGTACTAATGTTGTCAATGTTTCACAGCAGAATATCGTACGCCAACGCATCACTTTTAATTTAACAGTCACAGCGGCCATCCCAGGGCAACCATGTTAGTGGGATAAATCAATTGAATAAAATCAAAATTAATTTATTTCAGATAAAATAAGATCCATATTATTAAAATACATTGATTGATTGATAAATAATAATAATAATATGTCATTAAATACAATAAATACAAACTACACATATGGTTTCGTTAAGGTGCTAACTCGATCGAGCCACCGGACACCAGTTCCAAACCCGGTCGAAGGATCAGAAAAAGGTGGATCGCAAGGGTGCTAATTTTAAATCACGCACGAATGAACCAGAAAATGGTGGGGCCATAGGCTGCCCCTTCGATTCCGACTTGGAGGAATCAGAAATGGTGTGGCCAATAATCCCGATACTAATCCGGGTCGAAGAATCAGACAATGGTGACGCTAATAGTTCCTGGGTTCGAATCCGGAAATTGATGGTCAATAAATGGTTGGGGTGACTATGTTGTCTTTCGTATTCGGATCGGAGGAACCAGTGCATGATGGAGTTAAGGTTCCGGGTTCGATTCCCAGGTCAGACTAAATCAATCATGCGAGATTTTACAATATGTGAAATGTATGCATGGTTCTCTATAACCAAAACAATATAGCAGAAGTGGCACGTGGTCGGGTTATTGGCATTGCACTTGTTAGGACCCAATTTACTATATCTATCCGGCAAGGGTAGGAGCGTGAGCTGTTGTAGGGAAGGAGCGGCAATAAAAGAGAAAGGAGATTTCCTTACGCTAGGAAAGAAATGAGATGTACTTACTTGGGCGTTGATCTTTTGACGGCCTATTACTCAGACCTGAAGTTGATGGTGCTACGCTGCAGATGCGGTGGTGCGCGACGATTCAGCACTATGCAACGTGGTCACTGTTAGGTTGTTCTGTGACGCGACTACGTCAGAGGTGCAATCAGATCTTGCGTTGGTCTTCAACTGCTCGGCGCGGCGGCAGCACGTCAACAACTCTCGTTGGCCAGTGGCGTGATCTCGACCTTTCACTTTTCGGCCAGCGCGTCTTATTGTTCGCACAAAGTGACGCCACCATATCTGACGTTCTATTGTACATGCCTGTACAGGAAGGAGGCGGAGTTATGGGGAAAGAAATACTTCCAGCTAATTTAGTCTACAATATATGCGTTTTTGGCGCAAGCAACATAATTATAATTTAGTACCTTCTCACTCCAACGGATGGAATTACAGCGGAGCTTCTGAAAGCGGGTGGAAAACCGATACTTGAAGTCCTTCAGAAGCTCTAAAGAAGCACTACTCCGGAGGCATGGACCAGAAGTGCAGTGGTTTTGTTCTTCAAGTAAGGCGAAAATGCTCACTTGAAGTAATACAGAGCGATTTCCCTTCCGAGCCGTGAAAACGTGCTGTTTGCGAGAGTCATTACGGATCGTCTTGCACGCAGAATTAATAAATTCTAGCCACCCGAACAAATTGGTTTCCGAAAAGGCTTTAGTACTATAGACCACATACATACCCTTCGGCAATTTGTACAGAAGACTGCGGAGTACAATATGAGCTATGTCTTGCATATGTAGACTAAAGGATTAAGTACCATACATACATAATCTAAGGTAAATTATGATAATGAACATGTTTTTCCTAGCAATTTCGGAGGAGAAGATAACGCAATATGTTTTCTATCATTTTCAGGATAGTATTGGTGCTAACCCGCACCTTGCGCATTAGTGATGCACACCGCTTGTGTATGGTCGCGTTTTATACGTGGTAGAGCCATGCTGCAGTTATATTAGAAGTATAGTTGTAGCACGAATGTGTCGGCTCGACCGGGGAAGGACGCACGCTTTTACAGAATACCAGCGTGAAATAGTAGCTTAATGCTGCTGTGTTTCGTTTGGTGAGTGTAGAGAACCGGCGTCCCTTTTTAATGAAAACGAGGCATTACATCTCAGTCCTCATGGGTGACAACGCATCTGCATTTTGATTCATAATCAAGGATAGACGTAGATACTATGGGCCACAGCAACCACTTACCATCAGGTGGACTGTGTGCTCGTTTGTCACCCTATCCTATAAAAAAACAGGCACTGCGCGCCTCCGCAAACATGCTAGAGGCACCTCAAATGCGGGGTAGCCCCAAAATCATCCTGAAAGCGTTATTGTACATGATGCGGATATCGTTGCAACTTCTTTTATTATAGTCCGCTCACAGGCTGGATGTATAGAGTAATGTACAATAAGCTCTACATAGTGTAATTTTTACCTCCTATGAGCTTTGCGCAAATATGCGGGCTATCTTCTTAGCTTATCAGACATCGTTCTCCGCTCACGCTCAATGTCCATTTTCCTTGAAGTCATTAGTTATTATATGTCCTAGGTACTTAAATTGATTACCAATTATATTTATAGGCACACTATTCAGTGATACTGGCATAAATCCTAGGGACATTAGGTACCTGCCTCGAAGACCATGTATTAACTTTTCTTCATATTGAACTTTAGACCGTGTCTACTCGCATTATCATCACCAATGTGTTTAAATTTCCTTATGCTAAAGATCGATGATTTCAGCAAAACCATGTCAGCGTAACTTAGATTGTTAACACAAACGCCGTCATCATGGCAGCCGACGAAATGGCTGCCGAGAGCAACGATCAAAGCATTCGTATACGAATTGAAAAGTGTCGTAGATATTAATACGCCTTGCTTGACCCCGCATTCAAACCGATACGGATCCGAAACTTCTCCCACCCAATGTACGCTGTTAGATTGATGTGAATACCAGTAGCAGAATACGCTGATGAGTTCCTCAGATTAGTTTATGCTTCTCAGTTTATCCTATAAACTGTCATATCTGACTAAATAAAAAGCCCCAGATAAGTTGAAGAAGTAGGCGTATACGGGCGTCATGCGGTTTGTATAATATTTAACGGTATGTATAAAGCACAAAATTGCACTTTTTTAATAGCCGCGGTCAAAACCCGAACAGATTATTATTCAGCTTCACATATTCATTTAGCTTTACTTTGACAGTGGCGAGGGCCTTTAGTTATTTTTTTCGGTAAGATCATCAGTTTTATACTTCACTTCATAAAATCAGCTGGTAATTAAAAACGGCCCATGCACATCAAAAAAATAGCCAATACCCTCGCGACATGTGGCCCTGCGTACAACAGTAATACGAAATGCTTCACTGGAATTTTTCGCATTCTATGTAGTCACTTAGGCCTTTTCGTTTCATCCCACCCTCTGCCGATAATATTAGGTTGTCGTTACATTAGGTTATGGAAGTAGGGACGAGCAAAGTGGACTTACACCCGCGCAACCGTTTGTACACGATAAAAAAGTTTACGCGCAGAGGACCCTAGCTATCTCTTTTTCAGATTTTGAACTTTGTAAATTCCTGCGGAGGTGAGGTTAAAGCAGTAGAGTTTAGGTATCATGTATCGAGGCCTTAGCTAATACCCAGTACGTGGGCGGCCAGGGAGAGAGTAGACGCTCTCGAAGTGGACTGCGTCGGGACCTTAGGTGCAACAGCACGACTGATGACAAAGCAACCCTATTTAGAGTCGCTCTGCTTTTATCTGTACAAAGAAGGGGCCTAGGAAAGGTTTTTATTATTATTATTATTATTATTTATACACAAACACACTAGCAGCTAAAAAAGCTGATGCGTGTGCATCTTAATGTTTGGAGATTTTATCCAATCTGTTCCTGAAGGCGTTCAATGTAGGAGCATCAATCACATTTTGTGGTGGCTTATTCCACTCGGTGACAACACGGTTTGTTATAAAATTCTTCATGGGATTCCGCTTGGCAGTCCTATGGCAAAGTTTAAGTTGATGTCCTCTCAGACGTTTGTTGCTATTTAGTAAGTACAAATTCGGCAGAGTAGGAACATTGTAATATCCTGTCAGTATTTTGTATGTTTCAATCAGACTACCTCTCTGCCTACGGTTCTCTAGTGTTGTGAGGTTAAGCTTTCTCATTCGCTGCTCATATGTCATGTTTCGCAGTTGTTTTACCATTTTTGTGGCCCTCCTTTGAACATTCTCCAGTATTATTATATCTTTACGAAAATACGGGTCCCATATCACATATGCAAACTCCAAAAGAGGTCTTAAGTACGTTCGGTAGATCTTGTTAAATATTATAGGAGTGCGACACATAACGCTTTTTCGAATCATATACATCATGGAGTTTGCCTTTTTTACTATGTTAAGGATATGAGTTTCCCATTTGAGGTCACTGGTTATTGTAATGCCAAGGTGTTTTTGTGATTCAACAGAAGACAATGGGTGATCACCTAGATAATATGTATTTCGTGGATTATTTTTCCCTATATGTAGAACCATACACTTGTCTGCGTTCAGTGTTAGGAGCCAATCACTAGTCCAATCGTAGATGGCATTTAGATCTTGTTGTATAACTTGATGTTGCGTAATAGGGTTCCCAAAAAATTTTGTGTTATCGGCAAATAATGAGAATGGTAGCTGTAACGTGCTCTTCAAATCCGATAAATATAGGATAAATAATAATGGTCCAAGAACAGATCCCTGCGGAACTCCGCTGAGTACTTCCCTGGGTTTAGACATTGTACTTCCAACTCTCACGCAGAATGTTCTGTCTGACAGAAAATCACTTATTCAGGCCAACAATTTCCCGCGTATACCAAAGTGTTTTAATTTGCATATAAGTCGCCTTAATGGCACACGGTCAAAAGCTTTTTCATAGTCAAGATATATCACATCTGTAGGTAATCCATTGTCATGGTTTGAGACCCATTCATTAACACATTGTAACATATTTGTAATGATTGATCGCTTTGGTACAAACCCGTGCTGTTCATCTAAAATCAGTTGTTCTTGTAATAGGAATTCTCTTAATCTTTCAGTTATGATCTTTTTCATGGCTTTACAGAGGATACTTGTCAAACTTATTGGTCTGTAATTACTAGGTCTCATCTTATCGCCGTTTTTATAAATAGGTACGACTGTAGCTTTCTTCCAATCAGCGGGTAAGCGTCCACCCTCCATGGATTTGTTCATAATGCTTGATATATATTCGGCAAGCAATGATGAGCACCGCTTTAGTAATATAGATGGTATTCCATCAGGACCAGTAGCAGTAGCATCATCAAAGGTTAACAAGGTCTTTAGTACGATTTTGGTTGTAAATTTTACGTCATCAATTGAGTTTGTTACCATTGGCATGTTTATGGAGGAATTGGTCCATCTGGTTCTCTTACATAGCTATTAACGAACTGATCGGCAAACAGCTCCGCGATTTTATGTGGTTCCTCTACAAGTTCTTGTGACTCGGTTTTAAGCATGTTAGGAATGGTGAGTTTAGAATTAAGTTGTCTTCTAATGTATCCGTAGAAAGCTTTCGGTCCAGAGTCTATAACATTTGTTTCAAATTGAGCTCTTCTATATTTCAACAGTTTAATAATTTTATGATTAATATTTCTAAATTTTCGGTACGAATCTTCTGTTTTATTAATAATATATATTCCATAACTCTTTTTTCCGTTTTGTTATATCCAAAATTTCCTTATTTATCCATGGTTTATTATTTGATTTATTTATTCTCTGTGATTTTTTTTACACAATTTTCAAGTGATGTATGTATTTGATTTTTAAATGATAGCCACATTTTATCTACTTGGTTTCCAATTATGTTAAAGTTTTCTGCTAAATCTTTGTTAATTTTGTTATAGTCAGCTTTATAAAAATCAAAAATCTTTATTATAGGCACTTTACTATCGTTATTAATTATCTGCATAGAAGCCAGTATGACCAAATGATCACTCTTTCCAATGGGCGGAAGATACTTAATATCAGTTATTAAAGTTTCATCATTACACAGTATAAGATCTAGTAGGGATTCTGCATTATTACGTTTCCTTGTGATGTGTGTTACAAGCTGATTGAGATTACTGTTTGAATACATTGCTACAAAGCTTTCGCATAGCTTGTTATGTCCGGTTAAATTATCGAGAGGCCATTTTATATTTGGTAAGTTGAAAACACCTGCAATAATCACTGTCTGCTTTGAGGCTACCTTTTCTATGGTGTTAAGTAATATTTCATCAGCACTTGTTAAAACATTTGAGGGAGGACGATACACACAAGCTAAAAGTAAATCTAAATATCCATAGTGTATATCTAGCCATAATGCCTCAACCAAAGAATTATAATATATTTTATTCACTTTTGATATAACAGGTACATTGTTAACGTCATGTGCAACATACATTGCTACTCCTCCCCCTTTTCTTTCTCTTCTGTCCAACCGGAAGAGCGTATATCCGTTTATATTTATAAGGCTGTCATCAATTCCAGAATGTAAATGAGTTTCTGATATCAAAATAAAAGCAGGTTTATGTGTATTAACTTCAAGAAGAAATAAATCAAATTTTGCCATAATGGAAGCCAAATTCGTGTATAGTATGCGGAGTTCTGTGATATTATGACGTGCTAGTTTTTTTGTAGTTGTTATAATCTTTGGTATGTTATTGATATATTTGATCGTAAGATTTTGCTCACCTTTTTCGGTTCTAGCCGCTAGTTCTCCACGAAGTCTCCTAAGTTGATCTCTTTGATATGGTGTCATATCAGCCTTTACTTTAACAGAGTTTGGCAGCTTACCTTTATTTTTCAGAACATTTATAGCATTATGTTTATTGGCCAGGACTACCTTGATAGGACGCGGCTTTTCAATTTTGGATACAGGTTTACCCAAACGGATGACAGTGAGAATTTCCGGTTCTGGAGTTGCCAGTGAGGTTATAGTTTTAGAAACCTGGTCTTTATCATGACTTTTTCTTTCTTCTGGTGAATTTGCTGTAGATTCAGGTATTCCAAACACAATAAGATTACGACTACGATTTTTTCTTTCCTGAATTTCATTTATCACTGTGTCCAAATTCACTACGTTTATATGGTTTTTCCTTAACTCTTGAACCTGCTGTTGAAGTTCTGTTACAAGTCTGCGAAGATCTGGAATCTGCCTTAGCCCCTCCTCGCAGTCATCACATAGGTACGACAATTTGGGTGTTTGGAGTGCAACAACACGCAATTCTGTTGCACTTAGTCCACTGCATTTAGTATATATTACTCTTTTGCAGCCTTTGCAATTGATCTTTGGCATCTTATCATCAATACGACTGTTACACTTGAAACACTGTACCATTTTTATTTATTGCCCCCAAATGGTAGTATGATTTAGGTAGTCTATTTTTCTTTTTGTGACAACCCGGTATTGTCTATGGTCACTTTTTGACAGCTGACAATGTCAAATTTTACGAGGGTAGTAAAAGAAAATTTTAATAAATGGATTCAATCAAATGTAAAACACTATTTAAACATAAAAATAAACTCAATTCAAAGTCACAGTTTTACTATATTTATCAATTAACAATGTACTATATAAGTCAATCTCCAAACACAACACAAATAGCACTTTGATTGAACACTAATTCCCAGTGTTTTAATTTAATATGAACAGAACAAGAAAAACACAAGTTGTTTCAATGACAATCAAAGACCGACCCACCGGAAAGGTGGTTCAAACATAGTCAACAACTTTGTATAGCCACCTGAAATATACGAACTTTATTGGACAGTGATGGAAATTTGTATCCAGAGAGAAAAACTACTAGAGCGGACTTTCGGCTTGTGAAATAACGGGTTATAGCGCAGGTTTTGCTATTCGCAATAGTTTGGCTAAAGATTTAAATGAATTACGATATGGCACTAATAACCGCCTCGTTACCAAACACTTCTGCGTTTGCCTATCGTACATTGTAAGAACTTTAATCTAATAAGTGCCTATGCGCCAACTCTACCATCACCGGGTGAGGCTTATACCAACAATTTCGGCAAATTCTTGAATGTGTTCAGAAACATGACAAGATCGTTTCATTAGGGAACTTAAATGCCCGTTTCGGCACCGACAATGATCTCTGGAATGGTGAACTTGGCAAACATGGAGTTGGAAAATATAACGAAAACAATTCACGTCTATTGGCTCTGGGCACCAAACAATCATGCCCACTTTCCATATATTTTAAAAACCTGACAGTGAAAGTTTATGTATAATTATAAGGTATAGTAGAAAAATGCAAGTAAGTTTAGAAAATAATGTCACAGAATCATTTTTACGATTTAAACGCTACGAAGCCCAAAAAACTTTAGGTTATGATTTGCCGTTACCTAGTAGGCAATAAAGATGTAAATGTGCTCGAACTTATTGTTGCGCGCGTCTAAGTTGACGTCATGTTGTGTCAGGGACGAGAGCGGGGGGGGAACTTTCCAGAAAATGGCATCACTAATCTTTCAACCGACAGCGCCATCTAGTATCGAAACGAAGAACTAAGCTTCTAGAAGCCCGACACTCGAACTTTCGGTGCCTTGTCGATTGTTGCGCGTATTTACTTAAATATTCTGGATGTTTCGGTGATAATGCGTATTTAAAGGCACTTCAAATAAGAGCGGGGGAAGTATTGAATTTGGCGAGATAAGCGAAGCTTCGGAGCGCAATAAAGTGAATCAGTGTGATTAATCATTAGTGTTTTAAGTTTAATTAGTGTAAAGTGAACTAAAGAGTAAATTTTGGTAATTCAATCGGCAGTTTTTATCGTTACGACAAAGCTCGTTACCTCAAACTGGGGGATGGAATTACAGCTCTCGTAGTAGCTACAAAACTTTCGCTACGTGGGTTCAAAGTGCCACCGTTCGACGGGACCTCTTCCTGGTCAGCTTACAAAATCCAGTTTGAAGCCGTTATGAAGTCGAACGGCTGGAATAAAAGTCAGGCCATGACTGCTCTCACACTAGGCCTGCGCGATCAGGCCTTAGCTGTTCTGGAAGCTCTCGGTGAGGACATGACTTATGAGCAGCTCCTTGAGGCATTGGAGAGATATGGCGACGCTCACCTGGAACACGTCTTTCGCGCGCAGCTTAAAGATCGCGTGCAGCGCATTAACGAAAACCTGCAGCAGTGGGCTCTAGAGGTGGAGAAGCTGGTGCGAAAAGAATATCGGTCTATACCTGCACTCATTGAAGGGAACCTGGTGCAGACATTCATCGACGGCATCCGCGACCTTGAAGTCAGAGCTGCTGTGAGGCTCGGGCACCACGAGACGCTTAAGGACGCCTTGGCCCATTCACTGGAAGTAGAAGCCGTGCAGCAGGATCATCGTTCCCATCGCGTCAAGGAGGTTGCAGCAGCTACAGTTCGCGACCGCAACAAAGGATACAGCCCTAGGTGCTATGGCTGTGGGAAAAGGGGCCATCTTTTAATTTTGGTAATTCTATCGGCAATTTTTATTGTCACGAACCTCAAGCTCGAAAAATTATTATTAAAGCTTGAAATTAAGATAAAAATATTTATTCAGCTATGGTCTTAAACGCTTTTTTTACTTGGCTAGCTAGCAATGACTTAGGGGCACTTGGTTTCAATGAATTCACAAAGTAAAAAAGACGTTTTAGATGATTGTCAGTATAAATTGAGTGTCGAGCATTATCTACTGTTTCTCCAGCACATATAAGTACTTACTAACTTCATTTTTGAAAAAAAAAAGAAAGATAGTTTCTATATCTCTTAAACTCCTAAGATACCGTGGACATGTTGACAGGTCCAAGTTTTGTGACCGCTAAGTACCGAGGACATGTATACATGTCCGCATTACGTGCTGCTATTTTCGTCATTAATTGATATAAAAATACAGTATATTTTCGATTGAACACTATTTCATTCGATTTTGAACGAACTAAAGAATATTCTGTAGCATTATATTCATTCGGTTACATAGACATCATCAAATATAACAGCCATTCGCTTTTGCGTGCCGGTGAGGTTGGTTACGTAATCGTTGAAGTTTTGTGATTGTGATTTTAGTTGGATTTTCTTTCAAAAAAACTGTAAGCAATGTTATTTATCTTTACTACGTAATGTTTTTGAATGATTTAAGTTACAACAACAGTAACTTTATATGTTTCAATTGATAAAAAAGTAGAAATAAAAAATCTCTACGCGAACAATTCGTAACGGTCAAGATTTCTAATAAGATTCTATTAAGATAATAATAGTATATTTCTTATTGGAATACCATAGTAAATACTTTTACTAGTAATTGCTAAATGTTATATCTATATGATTGTATAAGAAAAATAAAGAAAGACGATATAAAATATATACACAAAAAGGTTTTGAAAATGAGTTTAGTAAGCGCGCGCAAACTGTCTATTGTCGAATTTTTAGCAAATGTTTGCAAGTGAAAAAAGTAGAATTATTATAATTATTACATGCATAATTTCGGTTTATTTAGGAAGAATATGTTGTATTGATTGTAAGGACATAAAATTAAAATAAAAACTTACGATATTTCATTCATAATATAAAATTTATCGTCAGTAAGTACACTTTATCAAGATCCGTTAGAAACAAAGAGCTGTACAAAATAACATAAACATTTATATGTTATGGTTATTGTTTCTACTTATCGAAAATCTTATCGGCTTTAAATAACTGTAACTAAAACCTCTTTAAACATAAATGAAAGGTCGTGAGAAACATAAATATTTAAAACAAGTGCCGCCAGCTGAGGTGACGACGGACGCCTCGGTACAAAGCTGTTTTTTGTTATGGCGGGCGCAGTGAGTGATAGGTTAAAAGTCTAACTTATTTCTTGTATTGTCACAATGATCACTTATCAACCAAACACATTTCATTGGCTTACGGTACATACTTACTTAAATACCTGATGAACAAAATAGGTAAAGAAATAAAACACTATGTTAAAATGGAATGGTTTATTTATTATCAACGAAGGACTGTACCGATACCAATTGCAGAACTGTCAAATGTAAAAAAAATCCGTTTCTTTCGTGCGCCCTTAATGACATACTGAATTATTGATTCATTAAATTATTATTTTATTTTTATTTATATGCACCATACAAAGACTAATAAAGAAAAACTTACTGATAAAATTAAACATAAAATAATATATAAAACTCAGAAACAGAGTTGAATAAAGTAAAGTAGCAGTGTGTAAAATGGAACGCCCTAGAAAAAGGGTAGTTGAGATGCGTTCAAAATATAGTAATTCGTTTTACCCTTGACGTGGAATAAGCTTAAGGAAATATTAAAAAATATTTTTCCTTGCATTTTTTTTAACATTGTGATAAGCATAATTAATTTACAATTAAATTAACTGAATTTTAAGATTTGTTTCATGTCTATACATAGTCAGGTGAAAAATGGGCATAGCTTTTTGATCTTGTTATCACTAGTACGTTTTAGTCCTGCCGATGAATATAAAACCTCGTTAATGCATTCTAAATCTGGGCACTGGCATCTTTTTGACTTCATCATTGTACGCCGTTAAAACTTACGCGACATTCTTATAGCGAGAAAGAAGCGTGGATTGCTGGTTTGGATTGACCTTCGTCTCATCAGATCAATGACGCAACTTAAACTTAAAGCTCCACGACGAGCATGTTTAAAATGCCACCTAAGTTGGCCTTTTCGAGACTTATTACCTCATAAGATTTAGATAATATGCCAGAATCAAAATTTGCTGATAGTGTTCCGCAAACTGATTATTCCACTGCAGACGACGAATGGCGATCATTTGCAAAGAACCTTCATGTCTGTGCCTTGAATACTATTGGCAAATCATAAAAAAGGAAACCAAGAGTGGTTTGATGTATCAGACAACAACACTAGAATGCTTGTGAAAAAGTCAACACTACTGCTGATATTTATTCGTAGATGACCCGTAAACTATCGAAGCATCTGTGAATGCAGTGAAGCATCTGAAAAACTCCAAAGCACTCTGTGAAGACCAAATTTAAGCTGAAATATATAAATACAGAGGAAAACACATTTTAATTGGCTCTACAATCTTGCTCATAAGTGTGGGGAAAAGTGAGAAAGTGCGTCAGGACTAGTAGAATACGGGTATTTGTAAGTTGTAAAAAGCAAAGGGAGATGACTCCGATTGCAGCTCATGCCGAGGCATATCGCTTCCCTCCTTTGCCGGTAAGATACTCACGCACATCACTAATATCTGCCTTAGCGATCTAGCTGAACAATATATCTCAGAGAGCCAATGTTGTTCCGTCCTGATAGAGGAATAATTG